GAAAACCATCCCGGTTCTATTTTCATTCCACCTCAAGCACTGCTTGCACCTGAATTCAATGAACTCAAAGTATAAAAGGTTATACATTTATTTTGTATTTTGTCCATAACATTAAACATGCAGACACATTTTAAAAATGATCAAAAGTCACATTTGTATGACAGTGGTAAAGATCTAATGACATTCTGGTCGTGGATATTCCAGTGTGGCATTTAGTACATTTCATCATTCCTCTTGCTGACCCAGTTTACTCGCAGTGAAGTGGTTGAAAACCTACTGTAGGAGAAATGCAAGAGTATTGAACCAGCGTGGTTCACCCTGTGACAGCTTTATTCATAAATAAGAGCTAAAGGATCCCGACGATGGAGAATAGATATTAAAACTAAAATTNTGCCTTCCTTATTCTCCCATAATGACTTCTCTTTGTATTTCTGTTCACATTTTCCTTCATTTTCACTCCTTCTGTCATGGATCTCACCAATGGTCATTTACCAAATATCTACATTTTAAAAACGCTCCAAAGAATCCTAATGTCATCCTTGTGTAATACATGTTCATTTCACCATCTTTTCTTGTAGCATTTCAGCTTTCACAGCTTGGATATTATGACTTACTGCTGGCTTCCTAATACCCTGCAGGAAGTGTATCTTCACTGATTACAATATGCTTATGTCAACAGGGAGCTGGCAACTGAACTTACGAAGTGTCCTTTTCCTCACTCACACACTTTCTTAAGCTGTCTAATGTATTTGACTTTAATGCTTCTCTTATTCCTTTGAAAAACTCCATGTAATAGTGAAGATTGTGTCTGTAACAAACAAAAGGAATAACATAATGAGAGAAAATAAAAAAGTAAAGGCACGTTAAAGTTGTCCATGCTTAATTAAGCATCACACCATGACGACATTTGGGAGTGTGGACATATAGCTCCAGGTGTTTCAGCATTAGATGGAGGTGAGTGGTCAGGTGGTGCACTCCCAGGAAGAGTACATGGTACCCATTTGATAGGGAGCTGGGTGGGCCCCAGATAAGCTCTGGATGAAGTGGCAAAGAAAATATCTGCCTCTACCAGTAATTAAAACCTGGTTGCCCAGCCTACAACCAGTCAGTTTCCAGATTGAGCTATCCTAAGAAATATTGTACGCTCTATTACAATGAAGGCATGTTCATTCTGTGTAATTATTGTAAGATCCACTAGGGAATGGAAAGGAGGCATAACAAGTTTACCTTGTGATTTACAACAATGTTATAGCAACTGCACTCACAGTTTGTTGCACTGTGTAAGCATTTGTTATTGAGTGTGTGTCAAGGAATAACTTACTTTCAGTAACAGGTGTAAATTGGGTGCTAAACTTTCTTATACTTACATAGTGAGCAGTACTGGTCCAAGTAATTCACGGGTCTGTAGAAGGTGGTGTATATAGGCCCTTGTGTGCTTTTTACATGTCAAACAGCTGCATGATCTGCTTAGTGGTGTGAAATCTTCAGCATACCTAAAGCACAGTTAAACCCGATTAACTGACAACAGTGAAGTATCATAGCTGAGTTGCTAAATTGATTTGATAACTGGGCTTCAATTCATGACAAGGGTAGATGCTTTTTTTCTCAAGTGTTTCCAGCACCTAAGGAACCTCTTAACTACGTGACTCTTTCCCAATGGATAAAGTGGCCAGAATATAAAACTGACCACTGACCCTCATAAGTGCATGTATGTAACATTACATCCCTCTTATACACGTTCATGGCATGGAGCAATTTTAGCTTGCTTTATGTTAGATGTGGAAATTGCTTGAAGGACAGCATTAGAAACAAGGAATAGCCACAGTTTGGCCATACATGACAGGCACAGAATATTTGCACATCAAGTGCATATCTTTACATAAATAACACTGAAATGTTTTCTTCAAAGGATAGCCATGACTTCTCCTCATGGAGCACAATAAGGATAAAGACACTCACTCTCTAAATCCTGAAACTAAAAACGTGTTGCATGAAACATACTGAAGTAGGAATTTTCACAAGGGATTAACCATAATAAGTGGCTCACAAAGATATCTTTGTAACTGTAGCTGATATGTCAAAGGCATCAGAATAAGATACAAGATGGAGAGAAACAGCAGAATCTTTGGATTAAACGTACTGCACAAAAAGGACATACTTTTTATCTGCCAGGGATATTTCATATTTTCTATTCAGGCTGGTAGTTTGTGATTTTGTGTCCTCTGGTGACTCAACTATAGGTCCTTGTGTTTCTGATTCAACACTTTTATCCTCTTCAACAACTGAAGTGACCTGTTTATCATCTGTGATTCGTTTCTTCTTCTCTGGAATTTCATATGATGACTGTGCATATATACTTGTGTCTGGTTTCAAGTTGCTTCCATCCTTAGGCTCTGCTCCATATGACACATCAGTAGCTGTACTGGGAATGTCTCTAGAAATACAAAATGTTATATACAATTTCTTTATCAAAACCGTCACAACTATATTAAGGTCAGTGCCAGGTTTGGCTCTGCTACATGTTTCGGCTATTAAAAGCCATCATCAGGCAAATACATGGCTAACATATATATACCACTGAACTGCAGTATTATTAAAATTGGATACAATAATATTAATTATATTAAAATACTTGGCATAAAAATACAATAAATAGACAATATAAAACAAAGTTATAGTAAAAAACAAAAATAAAATTCTTCGAGTGATGCTTTACATCATCGAGTCAGTCATTGGTTTTTGTAATTTTGTTGTGTTCCCACGGACAAATTGGAGTATACTATATTTTGTGTATATATAATAAACTGTTTTGGAAGCTCGTGATGTAGATGTAGTAATATTAATGTTAATTATTTAGTCAGTGCCTCATCTTAGAAATTTATGTCTGTTCTGTAGGGAATGTAAACAACTAAATAATTAACATTAATATTATATCATCTACATCACGAGCCTTCAAAACAGTTTATTATTTATACACAAAATATAGTATACTCGAATTTGTCCATGGGAACACAACAAAATTACAAAAACCAATGACTGACTCGATGATGTAAAGCATCACTCGAAGAATTTTATTCTTGTTTTTTACTATAACTTTGTTTTATATTGTCTATTTATTGTATTTTTATGCCAAGTATTTTAATATAATTAATATTATTGTATCCAGTTTTAATAATACTGCAGTTCAATGGTATATATATGTTAGCCATGTATTTGCCTGATGATGGCTTTTAATAGCCGAAACATGTAGCAGAGCCAAACCTGGCACTGACCTTAATATAGTTGTGACGGTTTTGANCATGTGTTGTGAGGGTTTTAATAAAGAAATTGTATATTATAACACAATGGGATGCATGAAATGAAAATTAAAAATGTTATATCTTTGTATCATAATATTTAAACTTTTAAGTGTTGTTCTGATCCATAATGAATTCATTTTTAGATCACTGTTGCATGTCCGAAGGACCCTGGTTGTCTGGACAAAAGGCAGTATCCTCTCATAACAAGATCGTTCGTCTGAAACTATCCACGGACAAGGTGAAGGCATTTGCTATGGCAGCAACACTGAGGTGAGACAAAAGATTTTCTGTAGTTTTGCAGAGTATTTTCATGCATCTCCAAAGTACTGAAAATGTTTTCATTACAGGAACACCTTGTACTAATTCTGTCAGGTTAGTCTTGAGGTCAGCAAACTCTTTTAACATATTTACTGATGGAAATGAAATGAGAACTTACCCATCTCTCTTCCTACCACTAAGATATTATATCAGTAACAGTGAACCACTGACGTTAGTAGATGTGTGGGGCTTGTGGTAAGATGTAGCATGCTGCCTCCCCCCCCCCCCCCCACAACACCCGCGGGGCTATGAGATTTTTGGTGGCGNCCCAAGAAACCTGCTGGGTACATAGGATTCTAGCTGGCCTTCAGGCTGATATTTGAACCCAGAGCCTTCTGAATACAAAGCAGTAGTACTAACATTTGACCAAAATATGAATCATAAGAAATACTGGGGATCCTTGACTGGACTCAGGCAAGCAAAGGGACTCATACACTCCTCTGCTAAAAGAGCGAAGGAACTGTTGAAGTTAAACAGGAACCAGCTATGATGGGTGGTGGGATGACTTACAGGACACTGTCACCTTAAAGGACACCTCTTCAAACTGGGACTACGTGATAGTCCCACTTGTGAGAGGTGTCAAGAAGAAAATGAAATAGCCATACATATCCTGTGTGAATGTGAGGCCTTAGCCTATTTAAGATTACATCATTTGGGTCAATACTTTATGGAAACAAGTCTCTATTTCAACGCCCTCACGTACAAAATACTGCGCTTTATTCGAAGCGCAGAACTGCTGAGGGGATAATAAAAAGGGGAAGCACAATAGACCACTGTAGGTTGTGGTGCAAGGGCCAAGAGGGCCCACCCCTTGTACATTCATTCATTCATTCATTCAACATTTGACCAAGATATTTAGCAAGTACAGTTTTTAATAACAGACAATAATAAGACAGCTACAACAGATGTAGAGAAACACTACACTTACAAATTCTTTATACTATTCTGAAATATCAGAGCCCCTCCTCTCTCTGTCACTGTGTACACATATGAACTATCAAAGGCATCCATCCCTAGTTCCACCATGCTCAGCACTGTCTCTGGGTTCCAACAGCCCTGCAGAACACGGAACTTGTCATTTGGTAAATGTTTCTGAAAACAGAATTATGTGTTCTGAATATGGAATAAATATAAAAATTTTCAATTCATGTTATATTTTAGCATCCTGTTGCACTGATTTAAGTCCATGATTTATTTCACCGTCTTTTAGTGCATACACTTATCTACCTCACTCCTTTCTCTCGCACTACATGTTTCGGCACAAAAGTGCCATCTTCAGGTGCTTATTCGATTAACGTTAAACTAGTTCACTGCATGCCTTGTCTTCATATTAAAATAATTAAAATATATATTTATCATATATACTGTAACGTGTTTCGTTACAGAAGACGCCGTAGAGATGGTTAATTGGTTTATTTAACAATCTTCAAATAACGGCTACAATTAATTATCACAATGTTACGGGTTTCTGCACTTTACAAACCCTACAACAAAATCTCTTAACAC